TTGTTCGGCGGCTCAGGGCCCCGGGCGGAGCTCGGGCCGCTCCTTCCCCACCCGCAGCGCACGGTGCAGAAGAACGCCAAGTACATCTGCCTGGCCAACAAGGACTGCCCCGTGGACAAGCGGCGGAGGAATCGCTGCCAGTTCTGCCGCTTCCAGAAGTGCCTGGCCGTTGGCATGGTCAAAGAAGGTACTGGAGTGCCGTCCTGGGGTCGGGGGGGTCCCGTTCCACGGCCCGCCTGGCTGCACTGAGGACAGACAGGCTCATTGCATGTCCTTCCCCACAGTGGTCCGGACTGACAGCCTGAAGGGGCGGCGGGGCCGGCTGCCCTCCAAGCCCAAGCAGCTGCCAGACGCATCCCCCGTCAGCCTCATCACCTCCCTGGTGCGGGCACACATTGACTCCATCCCCAGTGCCACCAAGCTTGACTACTCCAAGGTAGGGCCAGTACCACCCCACACCCTCCCTAGGGCTGTGCCAGGGGCCTGATCCTGACCTGTCCCCATGTCAGTTCCAGGAGTCGGTGCCGTGCCAGTTCGAAAAGGAGGATTCGGTGGACATACAGCAGTTCTATGACCTCCTCACTGGCTCCATGGATGTCATCCGCAAGTGGGCTGAGAAGATCCAGGGCTTTGCCGAGCTGCCCAAGGAGGACCAGGACCTGCTGCTGGAGTCTGCCTTCCTCGAGCTCTTCATCCTGCGCCTGGCATACCGGTGAGCCCTGGCGCGGTGCGGCACAGCACGGTGCAGTGGGGAGCCTGGCGCTGTGCTGGGGGGGACTGACACATGGTTGTGCCTGCAGCTCCAAGCCGGAGGAAGGGAAACTCATCTTCTGCAATGGGGTGGTTCTGCACCGCCTGCAGTGCGTGCGGGGCTTCGGCGAGTGGATTGACGCCATCCTGGAGTTCTCCCAGAGCCTGCACCGCATGAGTGTCGATGTCCCCTCCTTCTCCTGCCTCGCCGCTCTCGTCATCATCACAGGTGAGACACCCCCCACACCTCACCGCTGTCCCCTTCCCCACCCTGTGGCCATCACCCTGGCCCTCACGCTTCTGCGTGTCCCCCTTAGACCGCCACGGGCTGAAGGAGCCGAAGCGCGTGGAGGAGCTGCAGAACCGCATCGTGGGCTGCCTGAAGGACCATGTGGCAGCGGCGGGGGCTGAGCCGGGTCGCCCCGGCTGCCTCTCCAAGCTGCTGGGCAAACTGCCCGAGCTGCGCAGCCTCTGCACCCAGGGCCTCCAGCGCATCTTCTACCTGAAGCTGGAGGACCTGGTGCCACCACCGCCCATCGTTGACAAGATCTTCATGGACACGCTGCCCTTCTGAGTCCCTAGCAGGGGGCTGCGGACCCCCACCCCGGGATGCCTAGACCCCCCCTGCCCAGGGACACCTGGGTCCCCCCACAGATACCTTGGGGACACCCAGACCTTAGGAAAAAGGCAAACGCGCATGGGAGACGTACCTCGTCCTCGCAGACCACTCGCCCCATTGTAAATAGCAAGCGGACGGATCGTGTACAGAGTGGGGAGTGTGGGGGCAGGGAGGGGGGGGTCCAGCCCCCCTAGCCTCGTCCCCCTCTCCTTTATATTTTTTTCTTTCTTTTTTTTTTCTTGTTTTGGCTGTTTTCTGTATATAAACTTGTACCTACATTGAGAGCCACTGAAGGGAGCCATTTCTCTTGTGCGTGCAGCTATTTTTAATATATGGTGATTTGGAAGGTGGGGGGGGGTGGCTGGGGACAGCCGGG